TCCTACCCAGGAGCAGGGGATATCTTTCCATTTTTTTATATCCTCTTCGATTTCTTTTTTCAGAGTGCTGTAGTTTTCAGTGTAGAGATCTTTTGTTTCTTTTGTTAGATTGATTCCTAGATACTTCATTTTTTTGGATGCTATTGTAAAAGGAATTTTTTCCCTTATTTCTCTTTCTGTCTGTCTGTTATTTGTGTATAGAAAGGCTATTGATTTTTGGGTATTCACCTTGTATAACAAACTTTAAATAGTACATGAATGGATTTTAAATCTGTCATGTAGATAATAAGGTGATATCTCTCAAAGTTCTGATAAGATAATCAGATTAAATAATGGTAGGATTTTAATAATGGTTCGGAAGGAAAAGGCTCAGGGGGAGGGTTGAAGACGCCTTCGAAGTCAGCCAAGAGGAAGCAGGAGGTGAGGACCTCAGTTTAGACAGTGGCTTGCAAATAGGTAGGAAACAGCTTCGGGAGATGTAACAAAGGAAAACTGACGTGACTCTGGAGTGTCTGGGTTTACAATGTGAGAGGAAAGGATGTATATCCCCAAAGCATAGAAATGGGAAGGGGTAACTAGATTTGTTGGAAGATGAAATTGGTCATTCTATGAGCAACATAGAAATGTATATAGAACCACTGGAAATGTCAGTTCGGAGCTCAGACACCCAAGGGGGAAAGTGGAAATTGTTTTCACGATTAGAACCAAAAATAGCAGCTTTTGGATGAGGCTGTATTTCTCAAGTACTTTCATAATTCATTCACTCAAGAAACTTGTGAAATGGGTAAGATAACTCCATTTTACAAATGAGAAAATCAAATCAGAAAGTAGGTAAGTGGCTTGCTCCAGAAGGGGACAGACAGAGTGAGGAGGGTGGATGACTGAGCCCCGTAGCGGTGTTGTGAGTGCTACTCCTTACCACCTCCCCAGCTGTGGCAGCAGACACGTAACGGGAGTGTGGGGAAAGAGTGGGCTTTCTTAAAGTGCTCCTCACCAAGTCCAGAAGAACTAAAATGACACTGAACTGATGGATCTTCCCCTTCACTTAATAGTGTAGGGTTGGGGTACAGGTAACGGCAGAAAGGCTCGCTTGTTATCTCCTTCACTGGGAAGAAGCCTCCATCAATGGCAGGCACGTTATTATTTCTCGTCACCGAACAGGTACTCAATAAATATTTGTTACATAAAAGATTAATGAAAACAAAGTAGAGTAATTTGATAGTAAGTGATGGAGCATTCTCTTGGACTGGATGATTCGAAAAGGTCTCATAAAGGTGACCTGTAAGGTGAATCAGTGATCCAAAAAGAAGGTGATACAGTCAGAATTTGAGACAAAGCAAGCCAGAAAGAAGACACATCAAAGGCAGGGCCATGTTGCAGAGTAAGCTGGTGAGTTAGAAACAGTAACTTGAGCACAGAATGGGGTGGGATGGGTAGAATAAGTACATGTAAGTGCTCGGAGGCAAAAAGAACCACAGCACTGTGGATGACAGAAAGGATTCTGCCTCTTATTGTTAAGTTTAATGGAAATCCACCAGCAGGTGACATGATCTGAGGTACATTACTGAATTAATTCTGGCTATTTTTTGAAAAACCTCCTAAGAAAAGTAAAGGTATATGAGCAGAGGTACAAGTCTGGAAGCCTAGCCACTTTGAAGGATTAGTCAAGAGGAGCCCAGCCTGGGAAATTCAGAGAGAACTTGTCTCAAAATAAAAAGAGCTGAGGACGTAGTGCAGTGGTACAGCGCTGGCCTAGCATACACAAGCCAGTTTCGATCCCTCAGCAAGATGCACATGACTTACACAAAGCACTGCTGAACTAAAATGGTAGCAGGAAAAGAAAAAAGGGGGGTTAATCAAGGATTGTGAACCATTAGGGCTTATGTTTAAGTTTCTTTGTTCATAATTTTTGCCCAAAATAGGAAAACTAATAAAAGATACAGAAAATTCGAGTTTTTTGATAATTTCCATAATATAGTAATTATAACTTAAAAAATACAAATCAATGTTATTAGCTTTAATGTGCTTCCCTTATACATTTTTTTTATTTTAAAAATTAAGAATATATAATGCTGTAATTTCTTAGGCAGTATTAATAACTGGCTTGAAAATAAAAACTGGCTCAAAAGATAAAGTAGTATTCTGTTAAGGGGACCTTATTTAGCAAGTTACTTTTATTTTCACCATATAGAGTACTCACGGTTAGCTTCAATCTACTCTGATCTCAATTTCAAGTGTTGCTATTTCTAAGACTTAACTTAAAGATTTTAGCCTTGACATGCTGATTAGAAGAAATGTGGTGAGCCCACTAGGAGCACTTTGAAGTGAGTCATTCTCCATGCATGCTTTTTTAGACATGAAAAATGTTACATTTACCCATTCCACAGAGACCAAATATTTAGTAGTTATATATGCCATCAATTTTTTTTGTTTGTTTTTTTGTTTTTTTGAGACAGGGTCTCACTATGTAGTTGAGACT